TGAGGAGTCCCACCCTTTCATCTGCGAAATTCCTAGAGACGATATCTCCCCGCCCACTAAGGCCCCGACTCCGCCCCCTGTGGCAGGATGTGCTGAAGGCTGGAGTGGACAGTCTCACTTCAGATACTGTTACAGGGTGAGAACACAGAACTAACGGACTGCACAGTACACCCCTGGCCACTTTATCAGAAACACCTCTCTCTCAGATATGCCATGCTCAGCTGTGCTGAGCTGAGCTATACTGAGCTGTGCTGAACTCTGCTGAGCTGTGCTGAACTGTGCTGAACTGTGCTTAACTCTGATGAACTGTGCTTAACTCTGCTGAACTGTGCTTAACTCTGCTGAACTGTGCTTAACTCTGCTGAACTGTGCTTAACTCTGATGAACTGTGCTTAACTCTGCTGAACTGTGCTTAACTCTGATGAACTGTGCTGAACTCTGCTGAACTGTGCTTAACTCTGATGAACTGTGCTGAACTCTGCTGAACTGTGCTTAACTCTGATGAACTGTGATGAACTCTGCTGAGCTGTGCTTAACTCTGATGAACTGTGCTGAACTCTGATGAACTGTGCTTAACTCTGATGAACTGTGATGAACTCTGATGAACTGTGCTTAACTCTGATGAACTGTGATGAACTCTGATGAACTGTGCTGAACTCTGATGAACTGTGCTGAACTCTGCTGAACTGTGCTGAACTCTGATGAACTGTGCTGAACTCTGGTCCTCCAGTGCTGGAGCTAGACACCGCAGTCCAGTAAAGCATGTGTGTTAATCTCTCTTAGCTCTTCACGGTGGACTATGCGTATAAGAAGAGCTGGCAGGGGGCGCGCGAGGACTGTGTGGCGCGGGGCGCTGACCTGGTCAGCATCCACTCAGGCGAGGAGGAGATATTCATGGCCGAGTACACCAAGGGCAAGACACAGTGGATCGGCTTGAGCAAAAACCCGCTGGAAGGAGGTTCGTTACCGAGCCAGAACTGTTCACAGTGGTGGTGATAGGAACCAGACGTCCACCTCTAAAAGCTCCCTCACAGAAAGTTCCTACATGAAATGGTTATGAATTCACTGCCTGATGACTGAGACACTGTTTTATGATAGTTTAGAGAACTTAAACTCCATTCATGGTGGAGGGATACATGCAGGGCGCTGTGAGGCAAAATAGTCCCCAAAGAAAACTTATTATTTCAGATTTTCCACTATTTTCCATCATCAACATTCCATATAAACTCAGAAGACTCGTGTAGGTTCACTGGTGGTTCTGGATAGTAAATAAAATGTCTGTATTTGTGTTGTAGTCATGGCGACCCCTGGTTCCTATCACCACCACTGAATAGTGTTCTGAATGTTCTCCTGCTTGTGTGATGGTGTCATGCAGGCTTTGTGCTGTTTGTGCTGTTTGTTCTCAGATTATTCCTGGAGTGATGGTTCTCCGCTCAGTCACACTAACTGGGGTCCCGGGGAACCAAATGACCACAGCGGCCGGGAGAACTGTGTGGAGATGGTCACCACTCAGAATGGCACGTCTTTCTGGAATGACATCAACTGTGATGCCCATCAGGACTGGGTCTGCATGATCGCCAAGGGCAAGACCCCCGTCGAGCCCCCAGTGCCCCCTTCAGCTGTGCCAGGTAAGATGCAGGAAGATAAGACAAGATGAGACTTCATTCATTTTAAACGGAAGTTCGAGTGTTTTTTATAGTATGAATGAACCTGTGAATGAATGAAAACAGTTCCGACCAGAATTATTGGCACCCTTGATGAACCAAGATGAACAAAAATGTTATTAGATTTTCATCATAATCTGTCAGCTTGATTTTACACATCAAATCATACACTTTTATACGGATTTCTCTTTGAATAAACTGACTTTGCTGAAAGGGTTGATAGAACACTTAGTACTTATTCTTCATTAATGAATTAATTAAATGGTGGTCATCTGGTTGTGATGAGAAAAGAATCAGGTGCCAATAAATGCTGCATAACTACTTAAACGCTAAAAAAATTAAACTACACTAATATTTAAACGTTTTGAATCACACCATATTAATAATGTGTGTTTTTTATATGTTTATATACAGTAGCAGCTTACAGAATGCTGATTAAAATGATCTAAACTAGGCAACAAAACTTCTAGATGTTTTATTTTTTTGGCAACAAAAAAGTTATCAAAGAAGAAATAAAATAATTATATATTTATAGAAATCTTTGCCAATTTAACTGCTTCGAGCTGTGATCGTCACTTTTGAAACACAAAGCATTATAGATATTATTTTTAATATCAATCACTCGACCTGTATTTAAGCTCTGAGTACGATGAGACCCTCATTTACACTGTATTATAACTTCATGCAGTCAGTGTAGACAGTTCAGTTTACAGCCCATTAATTATTACAGTTATATTATTATTCATATTATTGTATTTATGTATTTGTATCTGCCACAATACTCATTCTATAGTAACCTTTGCATAAAAAACTTTTTACAATTTTTTTTAAATAAAAGTACCTAAAATTGTAAACTAAACTAAATTAATGTAGAAATAAACATCATCAAAAACATAAAACTGTTCTGAGTTTTGCAGATGTACGTGTTAGTAACTCTGTACTGCCCTCTAGTGCTGTATTACTGCCTGAGCTGTGAACGTGTGTTTGTATAATAATTTAAATATGTTATAGCTATATTTATACATGTAACAGTACAGCTTTATTACACGTCTGAATCTCTGTGCTGTGTCTCTATAAGTGGATGTTAGTTTTGAGTGGAAATGTTGGGAAAGTGACCATAATCTGAAGGTCTGAACCCTGTAAGTCTGATTTACACTGTGAATGCTGCTGTGGAACAGTGGAACAGTAGAACGGTGGAACCGTGCTGACGTTCTTCTCCGTGCTCTGCAGCTCCGGACTGCGGGAGTAACCCCGGCTGGAGGAAGCACAACGACGTCTGTTATTACTACAACGACACCGACGTGGTGGACTTCTACACAGCGCTGAGCCGGTGCTACACTGAAAAGGCTCTGCTGGCCTCCATCCTGGACCAGGAGGAGCAGACCTACATCATCTCTATGGTAACAGAACTCCGCCCACTCTGTATGGGTGGGACTTTTTTGTTGTGATTTATTGGTCTAGTTTTTCCAATTTGTACAACATCTTAATTTTCTTATTTTATATATATTTATTTATTTATTTACTGTTTCATTTGATTCATTTTATTTTCTTTTGGCTGTTTTATTGTATTTCTTATTTTAATTTATTATTTTCAATACTTTTAATTTTTTTTTAAGTGCTCTAGAAATAAACGACTTTTATTTCTATTTAATTTTCTCTTGTATTAAAGTGTGTTCTCTGTGTTCTGTGTGCCTCTCAGGTGGGAACAGGTCAGGTGGAGGCTGCCTGGATCGGGATGCGGATGTTCGGGGCAACGGGAGGAGAGTATCTGTACGTCTGTGCATCATTTCTACCGTTTCCTGCTCGGTGTAATCGCTGTGGGAGGAGTTTATCTGCAGTGCAGGTGTTTGTGCTCCTGTGTGCAGGTGGGTGGATCTGTCTCCTGTGACGTATGTTCACTGGGCGCCAGGAGAGCCCAACAACGCCAACGGGGAGGAGCAGTGCGTACAGATGAACAGATATCCAGGTAGAGTGTCCCACGGACAGAGTCAGGCAATATCTAATATAAAAAAAAAATAATAATAAATATACACACACACACACACACACACACACACACACACACACATATATATATATATAATATATATATATATAATATATACTATATATATATATATATATATATATATACATATATAAAATCTAATATCTGTTAGAGCTGGGCAATTAATCAAATTTTTGTTCCATTATGATTTTAGCTTTCAACGTTTATGGAAAAAAAGATAATCGAGATAAAACGATTATTGTGCCTCATTCTGCTTCACAGTGATGCTTTCATTTTGTCTTATGTGTTATAAATCCAGCCCCCCCAAAAGCCCAAACTCAGCTTATGTATTCTGTATTTATTTTTATCTATTATTTTTATATATTTTCAGTAGGTTGTGGAGGTGCACTACACTGTAGTTGATCATATATCTAATTACTATTATATTATTTTTATTATACTATTATATTATTTATTTAATAAATGTGTGTTCATACATATTATGTTTCTCTTTTTATTACATTTTTAAATTTGTTTTTCAGTTGAATTATATTTAAAGTCCGCTGCTAAAAAGGGTTTTTTTAAGTTCAATAAATGCATAATAACTCAGTAAGTAATCATGTTAAATAATCGTGATCAATATTAATGAAAATAATGGTCATTTTTGCCATAATTGAGCAGCCACTTTCATCTATATCAATAGCGTTTCAGTGATATCTGACAGATAATGAGATGGTGTGATGTCATACGTATAGAACAGCGTTGTCCAGGTTTGCTGAGCAGCTTCTTTTAAGGTTTTTCTTTTATTCTTTACTCATAATACTGAGGTGCTGAGTGTGAACTGTGATGTACTTCATTTACCTGGAGCTTCAGATTGTCTTCAGAAACAGTTTCAACCGTTCATATAAATGAAATAAATAGTGTGTTTTCTTTCTGTAAATGTGTATTTTCTGTCCGGTTAATGTTTACAGTACTGCTTTAGGCTCCATTAAAGAGAAACAGGACAAAACAGTCCAAACAAAATGAGCCAATCAGAACTGTCAGAGATTCTCATCAAACAGATCTTTAACATTATTACTGCTGACTTATTAATCATCTGATACTGAGGTTTACTCAGAAAATATAAGGGTACTGAATGTTATTAATATATTATGGAGGGTTTAGATGTGTTATTAATGCAGTTAGTATGTAAATATGGCCTGTATATTAAAGTGAGTTACAGTCTGAAGCTCTGAGTAACGTTTGCTCTTTCAGGCACATGGAACGACGCTAACTGCGGCCGAGCCAACGCGGGCTACGTTTGTAAGAAACTGCCGGGAGACCACCACACTCCCCCCCCCTCCGACCCCCGCGTGGGAAGGAAACTGCCCCGAGGGTAACATTCTCAACCCCCCCCCACCGTCCACCCACGACTGCAAATGTCACATTTATTTGTTGAGAAAAATAAAACATACAGTATAAAAGGTGCCATAACTTTTGCACAGGCCACACTTTGTTTTATTTTTTCCTCAGTGTTAAATTCAGTAAATAAACAGTAATTGTGTATTAAAATGTACAGTAGTGTGTCTCTGTGGAGGATGTTTATCTTATTTACACTCAAAAAATCAACAAAAAAAATAATCACAGAATTTGACCAGAATTTTGCACACGACTGAATTTTATGGCTTTTATTCAGCAGAAATAAATGACGGTGTTGTGTAAAAGCTGAGAGGTGAAGCTTGTTTGATCTGACAGTTTGAGAACAGACATCATTTCATATCAGATATTAGGAGTGTTTTTTTTGGTGAATTCATCAGGGAATAACACAGTCAGTCATGCGGATCGGAGGGAAGCCGTTATGATTTTAGGCTTTAGGTTAAAGTGATAGGAGTGAACTGACCGTGTGACTGACCTTTCCTCTCCTGGTCCTCACCGCAGGATGGATGCGCTTCCATAACAAGTGCTACTTGTTCAAAGGGAGTCACCACCAGAACGAGGTGAAGGCCAACTGGACTTACGCTCGAGACTGGTGCCGGGCCCAGAACGGCCACCTCGCCATCATCGATGACATCAACGAGAACGGCAAGTGTCCAAAGAAAGACGTGACCATCTCAGAAACCCCAGCTCGCCTGCAGACAGACAGACAGACAGACAGTCTGCAGAGCAGCTGTTGAACACGTCTCACTGGCTGATCTAACGCCGCGTCCCAAACCACACACTACTGTACTTCACCTACTGCACTAACGAGTGCACTTCTAATGGGATGTGCACTATTTCTACACACTATTTAGTGAGCTAGTACGCGGTTTGGGACAGGGCGCTATTAACACAGGGAAATCTCAGCCATTTAGATTTGAGCTTTTATTTATCACTATGGAAACAAATCCAACAAAGCGAAACACTCAAATGAGGTTCCCAAAAACGTGTTTTACTGCCTTTGCTGGTTCAGTCACGGCTTTACTGAGCTGCCCAGTGTACCTGAAGTGGCCTACCAACATGAAGCCAGTGCTACTGCATGATGAAAACAGGGCTTATGACATCAGCATCAGTCTGTTTACATCATCAGTACCCATATGGAAAAAAATATATGGACGTATTTTATATATTTCAAACACATTTCAAACACACTTCTGAAATACATTCAAACACTAAAATGTATTTCAGAATATTTTGCCATATTAACCAAATATATTTTAAAATGCATTTATATTAAAATGTATGGGGGGAATATTACACATAGAAATGTACCACATAAAAATAAATGCACGTGATACATTTGGAATATATATATTTTTTCCATGAGTAGGTTAATATGTCAGTTCTTCATTGGTTCGGTCTCTGCTCTCTCTCTCTCGTCTCTGTCTCTGCTCTCTCTCTCTCTCTCTCTGTCTCTGTTCTCTCTCTCTCTGTCTCTCTCTCTGTCTCTGCTCTCTCTGTCTCTGTCCCTGTCTCTGCTCTCTCTCTGCTCTCTCTCTCTCTCTTTCTCTCTCTCTGTCTGTCTCTCTCTCTGTCTCTGCTCTCTCTGTCTCTGTCTCTGCTCTCTCTGTCTCTGTCTCTGTCTCTGCTCTCTCTCTCTCTCTCTCTCTGTCTCTGCTCTCTCTCTCTCTCTTTCTCTCTCTCTGTCTCTGCTCTCTCTGTCTCTGCTCTCTCTCTCTCTCTGTCTGTCTCTCTCTCTGTCTCTGCTCTCTCTCTCTCTCTGTCTCTGCTCTCTCTCTCCAGACTTCGTGGCCAGTTATCTGAGGGACCTGATCCACCCCGTGTGGATCGGACTGTCCGACACGCTTCACGAGGGCAAGTTTGCTTGGACTGATGGAAGTCCGGTCCTGTTCACCAACTGGGCAGAGAAGGAGCCCAACAACAACGACGGCAAGGTACAGCAGTTTTACAGCCCCAGGTTAAAGCCGGTCACTCACTGATAGAGTCGCTGATGATGAAGGCCAGCAGTAGCTTAACGAGGAAGAGCATCTTCAGCTGTTTCTCTCAAAGCTGTGGTTCTCCTGTGTTCTCTGCTGTTTAGAGCTGAAAATGGTCGCTGTGCATTTGTTTGGGTGCCACACTCAACAACAATTTAGCGCACAGCAGCAGCTCAGAGTCAGAACGTTTTACAGCCGACGAAATGTAGTTTCTGCCACTTTCAGAGCTCCTTCAGTTAAAATGTGTTTGAGCGAACAGGATTTTTGTCTTTGTAACTGAAGTCAACACTTATAAAACTGTGTTTATTATATTTAAAAGCTGTAATCTTTATTGTGTCAGATGTCCAGGACTGTTAGATCTGCCTGTTTGATCCTAGCACGGCCATCTTTGTGGAGAGGCGTGAATAGTTTTTCACAGCAGGGGGTTCTCACCCCTCCCCTTTCAGCCCTCATTGCTCACTAGCAGCTCATCATTTTAAACACAGAGAGACGACAGAGTCCTCGTTCATCTGATAACAGAGTTATGAAGAAAAACTATTTGTTTATATTAACTAAGAACATCTGAGTCATTTGCATCAATCAGAGATCAGAACCGTCAGGCGTCTGAGCTCAGACTCGTTTTGTATCCAACCTGCACATTAAGCGCTTCATGAAAAGTGAGGAACACATGCAGACGTGACTGTGAAGGGATTAAATCGTGAAGGTTGTGATGACGGTGTAAAACTGACCGTCCTGTTTTGTAGGAGCACTGCGTGAGTGTGACCCATAACCATCTGGTGACGGGACGCTGGAACGATGAGAACTGTGAGGAGGAGAGAGGCTGGGTTTGCTACAGGAACAAAGGTGAGATCTTCGTCTTCATTTTGGAGCAAAAGAGCGTTTGAGTTTCTCCACTGAGAGTCTCAGTCCGAGTCTTTAGTGTTTAGAATGCGGTTCTGCAGCGGGAGATCACAGACAGACAGACAGACAGACTGATAGATACACAGATAGATAGACAGACAGACAGATAGTCAAATAGATAGATAGATAGGTAGATAGATAGATGGATAGATAGATAGACAGACAGACAGATGGACAGACAGACAGACAGACAGACTGATAGATAGACAGATAGACAGACAGACAGACAGACAGAAAGATAGGTAGATAGACAGACAGACAGACAGACAGACAGATAGATAGACAGAGAGACAGACAGACAGACCGACAGATAGATAGATAGACAGACAGACAGAAAGAAAGATAAGTAGATAGACAGATGGACAGACAGATGGACAGACAGATAGACAGACAGACAGACAGACAGATAGACAGACAGACAGATAGACAGACAGACAGACAGACAGACAGACAGAAAGAAAGACAGGTAGATAGACAGACAGACAGAGAGACAGACAGACAGATAGACAGATATCATCACCAGCCACACATTCAACACTCCTACCTCAGCACAGCAACACAGATAACACACAAACAGCGTTTAAGTCCTCTTTATGGGGAAGTTGCACCTCTTTGCATGGCCCTTTGTGTGGCCACGCCCCCAGAGCCTCTACAGCAGTGCGGGTCAGCAGCAGGACGCTACAGTATAATAAAAACATACTAAAATTTTCATGAGGAAGCGTTAAAAATCACTGTACTTTCACTGATACAGCCTTTCACAGGAACCACTGGCACTGATCAAAACTAGCATCTGGCTGCAGCCTATCAGAGTAAAGTGGGTGGGAAGGGGTGGAGCTTGTGCTTTAGACACACCCACTCTTAGGTGAAGTGGCTTTTTTCCTGAAGTTGCTTCTAAATTCTCTGTGTTGTGCTTTTGGGGTTTACTTTGTTGGAGGACAGCACAGTCCAGAGAACACAGTTCCACTGCTCCACAGCCCAGTGCTGGGGGGCTTTATACCCCTCTAGCCCACGCTGGGCACTGGACATGGAGACCAAAGGGTCACGTTTTTGGGCTCAGTGGCTGAGTTCACTCATTTAAATAGGTGTCTGCATATTTTTGGGTATATAGTGTATTTATTCTGTTATACTGATTATGCTTCCTCTCCAACCCCTCCCCCCCCACAGACAGCCAACTACCAGCCCCCCCCGCCACAACCAGCCCCTGCCCCTCCAACTACGTCTCTTGGTACAAGAACTGCTACAGGCTGGTGTCGGAGCCGAAGACGTGGGAGGAGGCGGAGGCGGTGTGTGTGAAGGAGGGAGGACACCTGGCCAGCGTGGACATGAGCTACGACCAGGCCTTCATCTCCGGGGCCATCCAGCAGGCCAACACGGACGCCTGGATTGGCCTCAGGCGCAAGGTATGCTCACACTCACGCCCCTGCCCTGGCCCCAGTTCTGCCCCGGCCCCAGTTCTGCCCCAGGCCCAGTTCTGCCCCGGCCCCAGTTCTGCGCCCTTCATACCTGAAAAACATCTCACTAAAAACACAAAGATAAAAAATACATTAAACAGAGTTTACAGTAAATAAAAGACCCACCAAAACTGAGCTGTGTGAGTAGAAGTGAGAGAACATTTATGGTTCTAGAGTTTTCACTGTGCTTCTAGAACGCAACAATCAATAAGAGCCCTTATAACACTACTAAAAGCTTTAGTAACATCACTAAAATCTTTTCACTAAAATCCTCTCTTACATCATTACACTATTAAAAGCTTTTGCTAGATCAGTAAAAGCCCTTTAATACTATTAAAATCTTTTCTGACATCACTAAATGCCTTTCTTACATACCTAAAAGCTTTTGGTATATCATTAAAAGCCCTTTTGCTTTTGTTACATCACTGAAGTTCTTTCTTGCATCATTAAAAGCTGTTGTTGCATCACTGAAAGTCTTTGTTAAGTCACCTCTGAGCTGATCCTGCTGCTCCTGAAAGGGTTAATCTGAGATTGAGGCATCTGTCTTTAAGCCGCTGTCTCTCGTCCCTGCAGGAGGACGGTGACACCTACCAGTGGTCAGACGGCTGGCCGGTGTTCTACACGCACTGGGGTCCGGGGGAGCCCACCAACCACAAAGGAGAGGGCTGCGTCAGCATGCACGGCCGTTCACACTTCATCCAGGGAACATGGAACGACACGGCCTGCGACGCGGCCAAGCCGTACCTCTGCAAGATCACATTCGGTCAGCACGCCTACCGTCCACTTACTGACCTGTTGCTGACAAAACACAGTAAACATGACCAGAGCTGTGCTAAAGACAGAGATTCCCGAGACCCCCAAAGACCCTTCCATTTACTTGATTTCCTGTCAGAACAGCCTTAAAGTACAAGTTATTAATTTTTCAGCAGAAAACAGAAAAAACACACGTCTAACAGAAAATGACCCAGAATCCTCAGCAGCTAAATCTGCTCTCAGCTGTGAGAGTCAGTGAGTCACTCTTTCCCTTCATTCCAGCTTCCATTCTGTTCAGGAGACTCACTTTCAGTTCCTCAAAGAATCTGCAGACACACCTCCACAGTTCAGTCTTAGAAGCTGGTTGATGATTTTCTGAAGTAATCAAACACATTCAGTGGTGTTGAGGTCTGGACTCTGGGGTGGTCAGTCCATCGTTCAGCTTCTTTGTTTGATGTGTCCGTCTCCTTTTCTCAGTGAGGTTCTTCTTGATCAGCTACACATCCTTTCAGACCCACAGCGCTGAGTCGTCTTCTCACAGTGGAAGGATGGACAGAAACACCTGTGGATGTTTTCAGATCTGAAGCAGCTTGATTTTCTCCTCTCTCTCAGAGATGAAAGCTTTAAGTGCTGTTTATCTGATGGGGCAGTTTGGGGGTCGACCAGCTCTTCCAGGTGGTGGTTAGGAGACACTTTTTCTCTGGAGCTTTAATCAGATTTGAAGCTTTTTCACTTTGACGTTCTGCTTCCTAGAAAATGAATAATTTGAACTTAAAGACTGTTTTGAGTGGAATTTAAATAAATGACGGGGGGTCTCTGACTTTTGCACAACGGTAGGGCTACTATTGTTATTGTGCTTTTAATGTTTGTATTATTTCTTTACACTGTGATCTGAGCCTTCATGTAATATGTAACAATCAACATACATGTTTAATATGTTTAATCGTGGTTTTCTGTAAATATTTTTTTTTGCTGAACGTTTGTTTGGAGATCAGATCTTAACGTTCCTTTTTCTTTCTCTTCCTTCAGAAAGTCCTCCGCCGACCCCGGCTCCAGGTGAAGGGACCTGCCCGCCGGGCTTCTGGCATTACGGGCGTTACTGCTACTTTGTGCATAACGGAAGGGAGGGCTTCTCCTGGCCGGAGGCGCGGCACTACTGCCTGCTGGTCAAAGGCGCTGACCTGGCGTCCGTACACAGCCGAGCTGAGGTGGAGTTCATCAGGAACATCAACTACACCAAATACCACAACGTGTGGCTCGGACTGACCAGAGACGCCTCATGTACGTTCACACAAACTTCAAACACGGAACTGAATCACATAAAGATCTGTCCAACAACCGGGCAGCACATCACAGACAGTTCAATAAAACATGACCGCAGCTACAGGGGAACTCCACCCATTTTACACAATTCCTCCATAATTCAGTGTGTGAGATGTAAACAGAGTGAATCAGAGTGGTTTGGTGTGAAATGGTTCAGATCTCTTTACAGTGGTGCTGATAGGAACCAGGGGTCGCCATGACTACAACACAAATATAGACATTTTATTTACTATCCAGAACCACCAGTGAACCTACACGAGTCTTCTGAGTCTATATGGAATGTTGATGATGGAAAATAGTGGAAAATCTGAAATAATAAGTTTTCTTTGGGGACTATTTTGCCTCACAGCGCCCTGCATGTATCCCTCCACCATGAATGGAGTTTAAGTTCTCTAAACTATCATAAAACAGTGTCTCAGTCATCAGGCAGTGAATTCATAACCATTTCATGTAGTAACTTTCTGTGAGGGAGCTTTTAGAGGTGGACGTCTGGTTCCTATCTCAACCACTGTGAACAGCTCTGACTCGGTAAGTTTATCTAGAACGCAGAATCTCTCTGAATGACGCTGTTTACATCTTAACCACTTATTTATGGGGGAAATTTGAAAATTCAGTTAAGTTCCCCCTCAAAGGCTAGTTTTTCGTAGTTAGTTTGTAGGTCATTTTATAAGTTGATGAACACTGTCAGGGTCAGAGTTTAGGGTCTGGATTAGATGAGGTTTAGGATCACTGTTGAGTTCAAGTGTTCTAAACTAAGATTAACTGTAAAGTGGTTCGGAAACCAAACGTCCACAAACATCTTCTGAGCACTTTAATAAAGTGTCGTCTGGCTGGTGAAACTCAAGCAGTGTAAATGTTCATAACATCTTCCAGAAGGTTTTTATTGGTAACCAGTTCAGTTTTACTGGTTTTGCTCTGTCTGTGTCTGAAAGTCTTTCGACTCCAGAGCTTCCTCTGAAATGAAGGTGTTAATAGTGAGTCTGTGCTGCAGGAACAGCCTCTACTCTTCTGGGAAGGCTTTATACTAGATGTTGAACATTGCTGTGAGGATCTGATTGAGCATTAGTGAGGTCAGGTACTGATGTTGGATGGTCAGTTCTGGGATCACTCCAACTCATCCCAAAGGTACTGGATGGAGCTCCATCACTCCAGAGAACACAGTTCCACTGCTCCACAGCCCAATGCTGGGGGGCTTTATACCCCTCTAGACCACACTGGGCACTGGACATGGTGACCTTAGGATCATGTGCAGTGTCCAGTTCTATTGGTCAGTGCTTTTCTACTGAGAAAGTGTCCGAATTCTCTCATTAGGGCGTCTTCTGGACAGACAGTTGTCTCTGACTCTCTTTTCTGAATGATGTTACCTGGTTTCAGACGGATGGGGCTGGACAGACCTGAGCGCGCTGGCCTTCACAAACTGGGCTCCTGGCGAGCCGAACGAGGCCTTCCACGAATTTGGCCAGGAGGACTGCGTGGAGATGTACGAGGATGGAACGTGGAACGACAACAACTGCTTCCAGAAGAGAGGCTTCGCCTGCAAACTCCACCAGCGTAAGACTCACACTGACCGTCCACCGTGGATTCATTACTCAGATATAATGATCTTTTACTAATGTCTGATCTGCTGTCAGACTGTATTGATTAACCTGCACTGAAGCAGCTCCAGGTTGAGTGTCTGAATTCAGATCAGTGATACGTTCTAAAGAGAACGCTGCTTGCTGACGTTCTGTTATTGACGTCATGTTCACGTTTCCAGATTCTACAGGCGGAGATGATCACACTCGCCCGACGTCTGATCCGGCTGCCGGTGAGGTTCACTCTTTATTTCTACTGATTTCATCATTTTCAGTCCTCTAATCTCTGTAAACTGGATTACTCACTCAGTAACAGCAGCGTTTAGAAAACGGGGGATGTAGAAACTGTAAAGGGTGTATTACAGTGTACAGTACTGAGTCTCTGTAGAGGATCTGAAACTATTTACACTCAGAAAATCAACAACTGTACTGTACACCAAGGGTGCACAAACTTTTGCACTGTAGCAGTTTCGGTTATAGAGTTTTTGAAAACTTCGTCTGTCGTTAGAGAGTCGCTGTGCTCATCAGCTCCGTTACAGTCTGCTGTGTTTATTTGTTCATATTCATTACTTATTTTTAAAAAAGCTGGAAAAATTTAACACATTTTTACAGAATAAAAGTTTATTCTAAATGAAAATACCTCGTTCTGAAGTTTATGATCAAAAGTTAATGTTTCTAATCAATTGTTACAAAGTTGGAAAAATGTATTAATTGTTTACATTCTTTTCATGAAAACTCATTAAGCTGATTAAATATTTCCATGTTTAGAATAATGAGGATGTTTTATGGTCATAAACTGATCTTTTCTCAAACGCAGGACTCTTCAGTCCTTCTCCACTAATGAAACGGGATTAATTAGTAAATGATGATTATTTTACTGCGTAAAGCAGCAGCGTCTCCAAACAATCTGAACACCAGAGCTCAACCAATGAACACAAACAGAGAAATTATACAGAACTGTACTGTCTGACTGCCTATGTGTCTGTCTGTCTCTCAGAGCATGCGTCGGTGGTGGCCGGTGCAGTAATCGGCGCGATCCTGCTGGTGGTGCTGCTTTTGGGGATTCTGTATTACGTCTTCCGTGTGAAAGGAGTCAAACTGAGCGCCGCTGGTCTCCCTGGGAGAGACACCAAACACATAGACGTGGTGAGTCTCTCTCATTCTTCTCTCACTGTCTTACTCTCTCTCTCTCTTCTCACTGTCTTACTCTCTCTTCATGTGAAAACTGAGAAACAAAACTAGTGTTGTGATTGCGCCCCCTGCAGGTTAACTGGGGCGTGAAGTTAGGAACTGTTATTCTGTAATAGCTACTGTTTCTAAAATCAGTCTGTACTGAATGTTTCTGTAATGCAGCTACAGGAACCTGAGGAACCATTCAGTCCTGTAATCTCTCTCTCTCTGTCTCTCTCTCTCTCTCAGCCTGCTTTCAACAACCCGAACTTCGCAGGAGAGTCGGAGACATGAAGAGGCGGACGAAGCCGCTCAGCTTGTACAGATTCAGCGTTTATGCTAAAGTAAAGAAGGTTAGACAGAATTCCGGGCAGTAATCTTCAAATTCAGGACGTTCAAATTTCAGTGTTTTTGTAAGTAACTGTAATTAACAGTAAAGCTATGAAGTCCAGCTGGTTAACGATGATGTAGCCAATGCATTCAAATGTTTCCTGTATATACATTTTTATCCTGAAATGCTGAATTAAAGCTGAATTAAAAGTCATAAAAGACAAAAGTATCTGTTTCCTCAAATTCTGCAAGCCTGTGTTTCTGTTGGTGTTTACATAGCCGAGTGATGGCGGCTGTTTCTGTTTCTCATCATCTGAGATTTAAACTCGCAGCTCTGAGATCAAAACACTCGGTCTAAAACTCCCATCGTCTAAAAACTCTCGGTCTAAAACTCTCATCGTCTAAAAACTCTCGGTCTAAAACTCTCTCGGTCTAAAACTCTCTCGGTCTAAAACTCCCATCGTCTAAAAACTCTCGGTCTAAAACTCTCATCGTCTAAAACTCTCATCGTCTAAAACTCTCTCGGTCTAAAACTCTCATCGTCTAAAACTCTCTCGGTCTAAAACTCTCATCGTCTAAAACGCTCTCGGTCTAAAACTCTCTCGGTCTAAAACTCTCAGTCTAAAACTATCTCGGTCTAAAACTCTCTCGGTCTAAAATGCTCTCAGTCTAAAACTCTCGGTCTAAAACTCTCTCGGCCTAAAACGCTCTCAGTCTAAAACTCTCGGTCTAAAATGCTCTCAGTCTAAAACTCTCGGTCTAAAACTCTCTCGGTCTAAAATGCTCTCAGTCTAAAACTCTCTCGGTCTAAAACTCTCTCGGTCTAAAATGCTCTCAGTCTAAAACTCTCGGTCTAAAACTCTCTCGGTCTAAAATGCTCTCAGTCTAAAACTCTCGGTCTAAAACGCTCTCGGTCTAAAACTCTCTCGGTCTAAAACGCTCTCGGTCTAAAACTCTCTCGGTCTAAAACTCTCTCGGTCTAAAACTCTCTCGGTCTAAAACTCTCTCGGTCTAAAATTCTCGGTCTAAAACTCTCTCGGTCTATAACTCTCTCGGTCTAAAACGCTCTCTGTCTAAAACTCTCGGTCTAAAACTCTCTCGGTCTATAACTCTCTCGGTCTAAAACGCTCTCTGTCTAAAACTCTCGGTCTAAAACGCTCTCTGTCTAAAACTCTCTGTCTAAAACTCTCTCGGTCTAAAACTCTCTCGGTCTAAAACTCTCTCGGTCTAAAATGCTCTCAGTCTAAAACTCTCTCGGTCTAAAACGCTCTAAAACGAGTTAGTAAATGTTCTACATTGCAGGCTCCACCAAAAAGGATGTAAAAATGTTGCCTTTAATTCTGAGAAATCTGACACTGACGTCACTAAAGCAGCTTCTCAGACGAGCTGCAGGAACGAGACACAGTGACGACACAGAGTTTGTATTTTTTCCCCAAAACTTTATTGCCTCAAACATCAGACAAAGCTGAGCAGTGGTCGACAGTCGGTCTCCACCAGAGCTACAGACGTCTGCAAAAACAAAAACACAGCTTTGGAAAAAAAAAGGCTGTTTCTGTTTTTGTGAGTTAAAGAAACTAAATTTCACTGCGGTTCTTTACACACTGCTGTACATCGACATCCTCATATTTACATTTTGTCCAAAAGGCAGAAAAGCTCAGTTACAAAACAGGTCAACAGTTTCAGTCATCGCCAAGTGAAGCTGCGCGAGAGTCAAGAGCTAACGCGTTAACATCACACGCAGCACAGCCTCTCGCACGCGACAGGACGCGAAGGCTGAGTCGAAAACGAGGCTCTAAAACGCGATGCGGAAAAAAACAGAAGACGACAAACTGATTTGGTGAGCAGAGCCGAGAAATAATGACCAACCATGATCCAATAAAAGCAGCTTCTTTGGAAGAACAAACCAAAAAAAGAGCAATAAATCAGAACATTAATCCTCCTTTCACAGCTGAGAATCACCGTAAAATAAATACATATTTAATAATAATAATTCATGTGCAGCCCTTAAATCCCAGCTTTCCTATCGAACGCTCCGCCTCCTGTTGAAATTCCAGTCGGCCCCTAGTTCATAATTTCCAGTACAGGAATCCCGGAAAGGGAATTTCAGTAGGGAATACCACTTGGCACGGAAAGGTCCATCACGAACGAGTCCAGCGGACTTTATTCAATCAACTCTCAAACCACAAGAAGAGAAGGAATCACAGACTGTCAATCACCTCCTTATTATTGCTGGAAACCCAAAATCAACCACAAGTCAGGAAGAAAGAAGGAAAAGCGGGTTTGGGAGAATGGAAAACTGACAAAAGAGCGGAATCTGGACAGCTTTGTGTTCCGGAAAAAAAATAATAAAAAAACAAAAAAACAAAAATTTAAAGTGTCGATTTCATTTAACGCTGCTGTCGTCGATCGTGAAGTGCAACAAAAACCCAGCCGACGAGATCCAGTCGGAATGAAGGGGCAGCAAAGATGATTATCATCGTTATTGTGATAAATTACGTCACGATTTCTGATAATATCATAAACATCGTCAGCACTGAATCTCATCATCACACAGAGCATAACGAGTCCAGCAGAGCTGATTTAGTGCAGCGTGAAACATCATAATTACACAGTTCATCGTTTACGATGGTCTTACTGTTAAATGTGGCACAACTGGAGCTTTTTAAGTGTACAAACTCACAACTACTAAACATCGTGATTCTCTCTGCTGTATCGTCCCAGCCCTAGTGCTAAAGTAGAACATCACGCTGGAGAACCTATCGCTACACCACCTGCCTGGAGCTCTGAGTGAATTCACAAAGAAAGAAAGAAAGAAAGAAAGAGAGGCAAGAGAGAAACACCCTCAGAGCAGGGTCCTCAGCATGAAGCTGTGCAGTGAACAGTGAACAGGCACTAAACTCTGATCAGATTCCGGCTCCTTCATCTCCGTCTGACTCGTTCTGAAAGCAGCAGGTTCTGTTTTACAGCTCTTTCCGAAAGAGCTCAGAGCTTCTCAGAGCCTCTCAGAGCTTCACAGGAGCTTCTCAGGAGCTTCACAGGAGCTTCTCAGAGCTTCTCTGACAGCGTGAGAAAAAAAGGTGCATTTATGCTGAAGTGGAAACGCACAAAGCTCAGCAGCAGAACCAGAACTCTGAGCGTTCTAAACTCTCTCAGCGTTTCTCCCCAGGGTTCTGTGTGTAAACGTTCTCCGTATCGAGGATACATTCAGCTTCTTATCCAGCTGCGCCGTCTGCTCCACGTCACTCACCACCACGGTTTTTATAGACGCTGTAAAATTACTGTGTTAATGGATGTTAATTAGGTCACCAACACCTTAAAACACCTGTCGTCCTGTTTATGAGTGTTATAATGGCCTATTAATGACTTAATTAGGTTTATGACCAAATTAATAACCATTAATAAACCAACTGTAAATAAATCCTAATCCCTGTATGAGGTCGTCTCATTAATGCAGGTCAGTCTTCATGAGGCTGCAGGACACCTGACAAACACACACACCTAACAAAGATGGTTCTTCACAGGGTCTTTAGTAAAGACAATGGTTTTAGTTAGAACCATGAGTTCTATATAGAACCATTTCATGCTTAAAGAGTTCCTTAGAAAAAGGCCATGGTTCCATTCAGAAAAAAAACATGTAAAGAACCCTTTAAGCATGAAATAATTTTTCAGATTGATGAAGAATGTGTTGTATATGACTCTATATAGAACCTTTTTGCAAATGGTTCTATACAGCACCAAAAAGCGTTCTTCTATTATTACAATGTCAAGCTTGTAACAACAGAAGAACCTTTTTTTTTTGGAGCTATACAGAACTAACACATTGCCCATAAATCTGAAGAACCAACACTGCGAAGTGTTCATGGTTCTATACAGGACCGTTGTCTTCACTAAAGAACCTTTGAAGAACCATCTTTTTTAAGAGTGCAGATAAACCTTTATAAAGGCTTATTATACTGGGCACTATCTGTTATAAAGGCATTTATATCTGTTATAAAGGCAGACTGAGACACAGAGTTGGTTGTTTCACCCCAGAAAGTGTCACCAAACCCAAATATCAGAATGAAGTCATTGTTGTCTGATACAGATGTTGTGCCAGCTTGACAGTAAAGCTGCCAAATGCAACATTAATTATAAATGAGGGCTATTTATAAAGTGTTTATAACTGTTTATATCAGGTGCCGTGCAGTCTTATGAGCAGCATAAGTAAAGCGCTTCTGCAGAAACAGCAGGTCAGTTTAAGGCACGTGTCTAATCACAGAGCGGGACTGTGTCTGCATTTGGTTTTTTTTTGGGGGGGGGTGCTCAGGGTCTGTATGCTGTTCTGCCTCCACTTACACACTGTGCTTGAGGTAGGACCACATTTTATAACCTCCTGATTGGCGAACGATGAAGTACCAGATTTAAGAAGCAACGACTCGAGGAGAAGCAGACGTGAAAGCGCAGTGATCAGCATTCAGGCTCTATTGCGCTGGAATGAAGGGGAATGCCACCAGTTTCTCAAATTTCCTCCATAATTAACTGTAAGTAATTGTTAAGAAATAATCAGAGCGGTTCAGAGAGGTTCAGGGTGGTTCAGAGTGGTTCAGGGTGGTTTGGTGTGAAACGCTCTGTTCTAGATAAACTTACTGAGTCAGAACTGTTCACAGTGGTGGTGATAGGAACCAGACGTCCACCTCTAAAAGCTCCCTCACAGAAAGTTCCTACATGAAATGGTTATGAATTCACTGCCTGATGACTGAGACACTGTTTTATGATAGTTTAGAGAACTTAAACTCCATTCATGGTGGAGGGATACATGCAGGGCGCTGTGAGGCAAAATAGTCCCCAAAGATTTCAGATCTTCCATCATCAACATTCCATATAAACTCAGAAGACTCGTGTAGGTTCACTGGTGGTTCTGGATAGTAAATAAAATGTCTATATTTGTGTTGTAGTCATGGCGACCCCTGGTTCCTATCAGCACCACTGTGAAGACACCTGAACCATTTCACACCAAACCACTCTGAATCACTCTGTTTACACCTCAAACACTGAACTATGGAGAAGTTTTTTGGAAAAACACCCTTACTTCAATCAAAAATGTCTAAATCTGAACAGGGAAGACTTAAAATACTGAAGCGTGATAAGACTGAAGTTCATGGGGAAGAGAATTTAACTTTAAAAAATAAGAAATAAAAAATAAAAGCGTGTCCTGGAAGCCTCGACACTTTGCTGGTGTTTCCAAAGTCAACATAATACCAGTTTAAGGGCGGAAAAACAAAATCATTCAACATGATCAATATATTACTGATGATAAACTGCATTAATAATAACAATATTAATAATAATATAGGCAAAAATAAATAATTTTGAGATCGCTGTAGGGTTTTTACCACAGGCAAGAGGACCACGGCCCAGATATGTGTCCAGAGTTTGTTTTCAGTTCATAATCATCATCATCATCATCATCAGGTGAG